TTTCCTTTCTTTTTCTCTGTTTTAAGAGAAGAGAGGAGAGAGGAGCCAGGCCAGCCGGCCTCTTGGGCCTAACCAACCAGGCCGGCCCAACCATCCCCCGCAGCCCACCTAAACCCTATCTAACCCTAGCGAGCTTCTGCTCGATCCCTCCTCTCATTCCCCCCTCCGCCGCCAGCCACTCATCCCGATCGGGATCGACCTCGATCCCCTGCCTCCTCCCTCCAACGCCACACCAGAACACACGCATCGCCCGAACCCAGCGCCCGATCCCCATCTCTCCTTCGGCCTCCTCCACCCCGTCGCCGTTCGGAGCCGCGACCGTCCCTATGCGCTGGCGCCATGGCCAGCACCACTGCCTCCGCACTCGACCACATGCGGCCTCCTCCTCTGTCGCCCGCGCCATGCAGCAGCGCGCGCCCCCTCCGCCTACCTGCTCCCTCCTGCTTCTTGGACCTCGCCTCGCCACGTGACCCCGCCGCCGCTCTGGCCGGCGAGCCCATGCTCCAGCGCCGCGCCGCTGCACCCTTGTTGCTCGCGAACGCCATGAGTGCCCGCAGGACGACGACGCCGTCCTCGTGCTGCAACGTTGCCGGCAAGCCCTGCCTCTGTCACCTCCTTCCCGCGCGTGAGATGCTCCCCTCTGACAGCCACCTCCCGCTCGCCTCCTTCTTCTCTTCCTTGTGCACCAGCGACCATGGCTGCCTCGTCATCAAGCTCGCCTTCGTCTCCCTGGTGGCCGACTGCCTCGACCTCCTCTGCAAGCTACAGCCGCCCCGCGCCAAGTTCCTCTCCGACGTCCTCTGTTCGTGAACGAGCATGACGCTCGCCGCTGCCCTTTGTGTGTCCCGTGCACCTGGAAATCGAGCAGCAACGCTCGTTCTCGAGAGTGTTGACCAGCCACCTTTGCCAGCTCCTTCGGCCTCACCTCGTGGCCCAAATCCGCACAGCCATGCATGACATGGAGCCGTTCGCCTCCTGAGCACGCCTTGTTTTCTACCAAGACTAGTAAGGCCACCTTGCACTACCGTCGCCCGAAGACCCGTGTACCACGAGCGCCAACTTCGACTACCGCACGGTTACACCAAGTTCATCTATGGAACATGTACGTCTCCAATGGTGTACCACTACAGACGCCGTGTACGACTACTTCCCACGACGACCCGTGAATGTCTACTTCCACTATCGTCGCGAGAACGACTACCTCCACTACGGCCCATGTACCACTACTTCCTTCGACGAACGCGACCCGCTCCGAAAAGCACGCTTCAAAGGTATAACCCCGAGATGACGTCCGTGGACCAAATGCATGTGTTGTATGAGATGCACCCTATGTTTGGACCATGTGCGAATTGTTCCTTGCACGTTCGCCGTAAGCCATGCCACCGACATGTGGGACACCCGGTTTTCGGGATCACCCCACCTTCTTTTGCATATGTCATCCACATCTTTGTTTACACCGGTCGCTCAATGAGTTGTCGGATCACCGGAATGTTGCCGTGGCACCATTTTCGTTATCGTTGCCGTGGCATCCCTTTTGTTCCGCCATGGTGACCAAATGCTCCCTATAATATTAGATGTCAACTTTTTCATAAAAATTGCATAAAACTTGCATATGTCGTCCGCATCATGATAACAACTTTTAAATGTTTAAAATTGTTGTTTGCATTAAATTGCTAAATGACATGGTGATTTTTTTGGAATTGTTGTTTGTTGTTCTAGCCTCTTTTAAACTTGCTTAAATTGTTAGTTTAATTATGCTTCACCTCTTGCCATGTTTAACAACATTTAATATTGTTGGGTACATAACCAAGAGAGAACTAAATAATTGATGTGGTGTTCCATCAATATGCAACTCGTTGCATATTGAGCTCCACTTAAATTGTAGTGTTGTTTGCTTTACCTTGCCATGCCATGCCTCATTAAACCGGACATGCATCATATTTGGTTGTGCATCATGCCATGATTATGCTTGTGTGTTTACCATATTGTTTGCTTCTTTCCGGTTTGCTTCTCTCGTTAGCTTTGGTTTCGTTTCGGAGTTGTGAGGATTCGTTCGACTACGTCCGTTTGTCTTCTTTATGGACTCGTTCTTCTTCCTTGCGGGATTTTAGGCAAGATGACCACTACCCTCGATATCACCTCTATCTTTGCTTGCTAGTTGCTTCGTTCTATCACTATGTTGCGCTACCTATCACTTGTTTACCATGCCTTCCAAATTGCCATGTCAGCCTCTAACTTTTTCACCCTTCCTAGCCAACCGTTGCAGGGCTATGTTACCGCTTTGCTCAGCCCCTCTTATAGCGTTGTTAGTTGCAGGAGAAGTTAAAGATTGCTCCATGATGGACAGGATTATGTTGGGATATCACAATATCTCTTATTTAATTAATGCATCTATATACTTGGTAAAGGGTGGAAGACTCAGCCTTGTGCCTGGTGTTTTGTTCCACCCTTGCCGCCCTAGTTTCTGTCATACCGGTGTTATGTTCCTTGATTTTGCGTTCCTTACACGGTTGGGTGATTTATCGGACCCCCTTGACAGTTTGCTTTGAATAAAACTCCTCCAGCAAGGCCAAACCTTGGTTTTAACATTTGCCACCTAAGCCTTTTTCCCTTGGGTTCTGCAGACTCAAGGGTCAACTTTATTTAACCCCCCGGGCAAGTGCTCCTTCGAGTATTGGTCCAAACTAGAGCATCATGCGGGACCATTCCTTGGCAACTTGGATTACGTCGGTACCTGTACGCTTCGCTTATCCGGTGTGCCCTGAGAACGAGATATGTGCAGCTCCTATCGAGATTTGTCGGCACAGCGGGTGGTCTTGCTGGTCTTGTTTTACCATTATCGAAATGTCTTGTAAACCGGGATTCCAAGTCTGATCGGGTCTTCCTGGGAGAAGGAATATCCTTCGTTGACCGTGAGAGCTTGTGATGGGCTAAGTTGGGACACCCCTGCAGGGTATAAACTTTTGAAAGCCGTGCCCGCAGTTATGTGGCAAATGGGAATTTGTTAATATCCAGTTGTAGAGAACTTGACACTTGACTTAATTAAAACGCATCAACCGCGTGTGTAGCCATGATGGTCTCTTTTCGGCGGAGTCCGGGAAGTTAACACGGTTTTGGGTTATGTTTGACGTAAGTAGGAGTTCAGGATCACTTCTTGATCATTGCTAGTTCACGACCGTTCCATTTGCTCTCTTCTCGCTCTTATTTGTGTATGTTAGCCACCATATTTGCTTAGTGCTTGCTGCAACTCCACCTCATTACCACTTCCTACCCATAAGCTTAAATAGTCTTGATCTCGCGGGTTTTGAGATTGCCGAGTCCTCGTGACACACCAGATACTATCACAACAGCTGCAGGTCCCGATGATACCAGTGCAGGTGATGCAACCGAGCTCAGATGGGAGCTCAATGAAGATCTCGGTCGTTGCTATGTTTTGTTTCATGTTGATTAGTAGTGGAGCCCAGTTGGGACGATCGGGGATCTAGCAGTTGGGTTATCTTCTTTTCTTTTGGCTTCGTCCGTAGTCGGACTATGTGTGTACTCTGAATGATGTATGATTTATTTATGTTCATTGTGTGAAGTGGCGATTGTAAGCTAACTCTTTATCCCATTCTTGTTCATTACATGGGATTGTGTGAAGATGACCCTTCTTGCGACAAAACCACAATGCGGTTATGCCTCTAAGTCGTGCTTCGACACGTGGGAGATATAGCCGCATCGTGGGTGTTACACGAGCAGCCTTAGAAACCACATTGGCGAGTCATGCCCCAAAATCGATGATGAGTCCAGAAATAGGTTTCTTGCAACAATTAAGAAAAACCCATCAGATGTGGGGTTTGTTTTCGATCCTCAGAGAAGATGTCAGCTAATGATCAAATATTGCATCCACACCGAGGTTGCATTCAGGAAGTTTGACGATCCTTACTTTGAAGAGTGGATGGACTCGATGTAGCCCACCTTTAAAGTGGCGCCAGACTGTTCGCAACGACTGTGTGGACGCATATGAGCAAATGAAGGATCAGCTGCGCATTGAGTTCCAGTCTCTTGATTCCCATGTTTGTTTGACCTTGAACATGTTGACCTCTATACAAGAACTAGGCTATATGTGTGTTACCACTCACTACATTGATGGCAATTTCAACCTAAAGAAGAAGGTCATATCCTTCAAAAAAGTCAAGTATCCGCACACAAGTGCAGCCATTGAAGAGACTTTGTGCAAGTGTTTGAATGAATGGGGCATCAAAAGGAAATTGTTTACTTTGACCTTGGACAATGCAGCAAACAACAAACCAGCAGTTGACTCGTTTGTGCAACATCAAGACCACGACATGTTGTTTGGTGGTGTGGATTTTCATGTAAGGTGTTCGACACACATCCTTAATATCTTAGTTCAAGATGGAACAAGATATGTGCACAAGCCCATAGAAAAAATCCGTGAACTTTTAAGGCATATCGCTTCTTCCCCATCAAGAATTCAATCCTTCAATGCGATTGCCACAAATTTGGATCTTCCTGAAAAGGCTGGTGGCATAAATCTTGATATTCCAAACCGTTGGAACTCTACATATCTAATGATTGAAGAAGCTCTGGAATACAAGGGAGCCCTCAATAATTATGCAAGTGGAAATGGTGAAATAGCACCAGACGATGTGGAGTGGACTAATGCTGAAGTAATGTGCACATTCTAAAAGCTTTTGAAGAAGTGACAAAGTTAGTATCAGCCGATAGAACACCAATAGCCCATCTTTTTTGTACATGGTGTTGTGCATCCGCGACGCGCTAAGGGATCCTCAGTGGAGCACTAGTGGCACTATGTCAAACCTTGTCTATGTTATGGGCCAAAAGTTTGATAAATAATGGAAAGAGTCAAAACTGAATGTTGCAGTTGTCATCGCAACGGTGTTAGATCCTACCAAGAAATCTGACTTCTTGGAATTCTTCTTTGAAAGTATTGTGAAAATGTGGATGATATTGAGAAGTGTCTAGAAGGTGTAAAAGACATGATGAGGTCGTACTATGAGAAGTACGAGGAAGCTAGAAGAACCACCGAGCACTCGGTATCTCGGCAAGTCAGCGCCAATATAGGATCACCAGTTCTTGGCAAAAGAAGGCTGGAAGAAGAGTTTGCTCAATACAAGTCAAGAAGGAGGTCCTACATGCAACCAAAGTATGAGCTGGACATGTATTTGGAGGAAAATTTCGACAGCTCCGGGGGAAGTTTTGATATTTTGATATGGTGGAAAACACATGCTGAAAAATATCCCGTGCTCTCAACCGTGGCTCATGATTTCCTTGTAATACCTCTTAGCACCGTGTCATCTGAATCAGCATTCAATTGCAGTGGAAGGACTTTAGGAGATTTCCAATGCTCGATGATGCCCGGAACTCTTGAGGCTTTAGTTTGCGGAAAAGATTGGCTTATCAAAATTCCAAATAATGAAGGTATGATATTATTTCCCCTGTTTGGTCTGGAAACTTCTTTACTAGTAGACTGAGTAAGCTTTATGTTGCTTAACATGTACTTTGAAAGTGCAGGCCCAAGTGGGACAGCCTAATGGAGAAAAGGTCTTATGTTAACAAATTGGTAAGTAAAATATATGGACATTTGCATAGATTCAGTTTTAGGCTGTCTCATGTCATGGCTGTAATGCTACTATTCCGGTCTAAATCTTCATCATGTTGCCGAGAGGTTCCAGTCTAAATCTTCATCATTATGTCAACGATACATATTGTATATTATGAAACTAGTACTACTAGTAGTATAGTTAACTATACTGGATGCCCCAAGTTACATTCATTTGCACTTTAGTACATAAATACAATACCTTTCTTGTTGTCAAATTTGACTGAGTATGCATAGAGAAATTGATGTGCCAAATAGAGTGATATTTGGTCAATTCTCCTTGGACTTTGAGTGATAGTTCACACTTCACCTCAGCAAACTAGTCTCAAGTGACATAATGTCCTTTGGCCAAAATACTCTGCAACCATAGAGCTGATATTCTTCTAAGCCTGCAAATTTTTTGAATTGAAGAAATCTGTGTTCTACTAGTGAGATATGGTCGTGTTAAAGTGCGGCGATTGCTATATATCATTATGATGTACCTGCTAATACACTCAGGTATCAAGACGAAAGCCGGGGTAGAAGAAACCATTCAGAAAAGGGAGATGGATGTCCAGCAACTATGTAAAATGCATTCTGTAATTGAGTAGTTGTGTAACATCCAGCATTTTGTGTAACAATTTTAAACCCCATGCTGCAACATCCAACGGCTACTTAGTTAGTCTGCAAGCTATCATTTTCCTAGTAAAACTGGGTTGCCATTCTTATTCCCTGTCCATGGATTGAAACTATGGGTTAAATCCATAAATGGCATATGGTTTGGATTGGTCTGGGTGGAAAACGCATGTAGTTTCGTTTGGTTTGGATGCTAGCTTAATTATTTTGGTTTGGTTTGGTTTGGTTTGGTTGCTGGAGGTATAGTCATATGGTTTGGGCTGGGTTTAGTTTGGATGTCAAACTATTCCCAGGTTTAGTAGTAGCGCAAGCAGTACGCGGCCGCGGGCGCGCGCGTACGAGGCATAGTAGCCGCGGCCATGGGAAGGAGCAGGCAGCACGCAGCAGCAACAACAACAACACGTACGCGTACGCGAAACTGGAGCTCCGTCCAGGGATTTCCTATTTGGCGCATATGCGCCCGCTTGCCAACCGGCGCCTGCAGCGCTCGCGCGATGGGCCGGCCCAATAGCTTTTTTCTTCTCTGTTTTAAATCAGCAAAAAGACCTGTGTTAGCTGTGATTCGGACCAGGGACCTCACGCAGGTAGTACCGCGGGTGCAACTAGCACGCCAACACACTTTGTTTGTTCAGAATGAACTTTTACTTTCTTCTACATTTTCCTTTTTACCTTTTTTTTGTTTTCCTTTTTTTCCTTTTCATTTTCTGTTTTCCTTTTTCTGTTGTTTCCTTTTTCTTCTTTCGAGTTCGATGAACTTTTTTCAGATGTGTGCACTTTTTTTCAAATTCGATGAACTTTTATTCAAATCCGATGAACTTTTATTGAATCGGATGAACTGTTTTCAAAATCAATGAACTTTTTTTCAAAATTCGATGAACTTTTTTCAGATTTGATGAACATTTTTCAAAATTTGATGAACTGTTTTCAAAAATCGATGAACTTTTTTTCAAATATAATGAACTCTAATCAAAATCGATGAACTTTTTCTAAATTCGATGAACTTTTCTCAAATGCAACTTTCGTCGTACTGTGCTCTCCAAAGGGCAACTCTTCTCAAAATCTCAAAACAAAAGGTGCTGAGTTGGAATCCCATTCTAAGGATTCTTGTGGTTCCGGGGAATCCAGTTACAGGAGAACCAGATGATTTTTTTTCAAATTTGTGAACCTTTTTTCAAATGCGATGAACTTTTTTTCATAAACGGGATGAACTCTTTTCAAAATTCAGGAACTTTTTCCAAATTCAATGAACTTATTTTCAAATTCAATGAACTCTTGTTCAAGCTATAAAGTAAAACGTACAATATTTAAGAAAATTCAAAAATACAAGTTATAGAGTAAACTGTATTTTTTTGTGCAATAAATGGCGCGGCTCTTATGGTTCTTATAGAGTTCGCGTTTGATTTGAATCACTAGCCATCCGAAGCTGTAGTGGTTAGCCGGAAAATCCCGCTGCCTTGCTGCATGAGTTCGAGTCGTGGTTCTACCACATTTTTGCTTTTTTCACGCGACCGTTTACTGCTCGCTCCGTCTGTGGGCCGGCCCACTTGGCGCTGCCAGCAGGCGCCGGTTCGCTTCCCGGTGCCAAACGCGTCGAATAGGAGCTCCCCTCCGGCCATGGCCTTGGGACTGCTGGAATTTAGTCTATTTTGGGACAACCCAATAACTATTTCAGAAATTCCTAAATAAATCCTAGAGGTCCACTTAGCCCATTTGTTCAAGGCAAGGGATAAGTACTAAAGTTTAGTCCCACATTGCTAGTTTAGTGGGAGTTGGACCTCCTTATAAGGGAGGTTCTTTCCCCACTCGTATGAGCATGAGAACAAGAGGGACATCCACGCGCGCTCCTCCTCCGTTGTCCGCCTCGTCACGCCGCGCCGCGCCACGCCGCTACAATCTTCCCCATCCCGGCTTGCGGCGTGCACCGCAAGTCGGGACAGTAGGCCTCCGCAACCGCACCTTTTGAGTCCTGTACGGGAAAAGGGTGATAAGGTTTTTGGGGAGCGCTTCGCGCGACTACTGACTTCTTCATCACGGATGCCCCGGAATCCGACGACTACTTCCCCGACGTCCACGACCTCCTCGACGACATGGCTGGCGAGGACACCGACCCCAAGTCCAGCGCTTCTGCTGCTGCTGCCCCGTACGTGTTCGTCCCCTTTCTATTAGATGTTCTGCTACAGTTCCTTGTTCTAGTATTTGCCCTAGATATGTTAGACTCTATTTCATATATGAAACTTGCTATACTGTCTGCTCAATATATGATTAGTTACGGTTCATATATGAAGATGTTGTTTACCTTCTCTTTGTCAAACCGCATGGGTTGTTTTATCACTGCTATACTAGTCATGCTTTATCTAGTATTTCTATTAATAAAATCACTCGGTGAATTGCTCATATTTCCAACAATCCAAAAACCTTATTATAGGCAATTTACCCCAAGTGGTTTTGTTGCTTCCATGAGACCTCCTATGTTTGAGGGTATCCACTATAAGAGGTGGCGCGTGAGAGCAGTCTTATGGTTTCAAATCATGAGTTGCTATGACGCCACTCTTGGCAGACCTGAAGGAGAACTTGATGCTCAACAGGCACAAGATTTTCAGAAAATGGATACTCTGTTTAAGGCTGCTCTCTTGAGTGTTCTTGGTGAGAACATAGTTGATGCTTATGCGTCAATTGACAATGGAAAAGATATGTGGGACACACTCGACGCCAAGTTTGGGGTCTCGGATGCCGGCACTGAGTTGTACATCATGGAGCAATTCTATGATTACAGGATGACTGAAGAGCGCTCCGTGGTTGAGCAGGCTCATGAGATATAGTCATTTGCTAGAGAACTTGAGCACTTCAATTTCATGCTACCGTACAAGTTTGTTGTCGGGGGTATCATCACTAAGCTTCCTCCTTCATGGAGGAACTTTGCTACCTTACTGAAGCATAAGAGACAGGAGTTTTCCGTTCAGGATCTCATTGGTACTCTTGATGTGGAAGAAAAGGCGAGAGAAGAGGACACACGTGCTTGAGGTATTGAGGGAGGATCTAGTGCCAATCTGGTACAGAAGAAAAACTTCCAGTCCCACAAGTTCAAGAACAAGGGCAAGCTTGATGGTAAAGCAAATTTTGATGGGAAGAACAAGGCTGTACAACACACAAACTTCAAGAAGAAGAGTGACAGGAAGAAAGAGGCTTGTCATGTGTGTGGAGATCCTGATCATCGGGCTCCTAGTTGTCCTAATCGCTATGACAAGCGTCATCCTGGGAAAGGCGGCAAGATCGCTAATGTTGTCATTGGAGACACTGGCATGAAGGATATTGGGTATGGTATATTTCCCACTATTCTTTCAGTATGTCATTCTCCTGATTGGTTGATTGACACGGGTGCAAATGTGCATGTATGCGGTGATATTTCCATGTTTTTGTCTTATCAGACCGCAGGGACTTCAACCGTGCTAATGGGCAATGGTTCAAGTGCTTCTGTTCGTGGTGTTGGCACAGTTGATCTGAAGTTTACTTCATGGAAGATCGTGCGGCTGAAGAACGTGCATTATGTCCCCTCCGTCAATAAAAATCTTGTTAGCGGATCTCTTCTGTGTAGAGATGGCTATAAGTGTGTCTTTGAGTCGGATAAATTTGTAATATCCAAGTATGGAACCTTTATTGGTAAAGGCTATGAGTCAGGAGGCCTGTTTCGTTTATCCTTATCAGACATTTGCAATAAAGTTGATAATCATATTTGCAACAATAGTGAATCAAATGTGTGGCATTCACGTCTTTGTCATGTTAACTTTGGTTGCATGTCGTGACTAGCGAAGTTGAATTTAATCCCTAGTTTCACCACTGTCAAGGGATCTAAGTGTCAAGTGTGTGTGCAAGCTAAGCAACCTCGTAAGTCTCACGTGACTGCGAAGACGAGAAATCTTGCACCACTAGAACTTATAAATTCAGATCTATGTGAAATGAATGGTGTTTTGACAAAAGGTGGAAAGAAATATTTCATGATGTTAGTTGACGACTCCACTAGATACTGCCGTGTGTATCTTCTGAAATCTAAGGATGAGGCTTTTAACTTTTTCAAGATCTATAAAGCTGAAGTGGAAAACCAACTTGATCAAAAAATCAAGGGGCTTAGGTCCGACCGTGCTGGAGAGTATTTTTCCAATGAATTTGATGCTTTTTGTGCGGAACATGGTATAATCCATGAGAGGACGCCTCCCTACTCACCTCAGTCAAACGGGGTGGCCGAAAGAAAGAATCATACTCTAACTGATTTGGTTAACGCCATGTTAGACACATCGGGTCTCTCCAAGGCGTGGTGGGGGG